TTTTGCAGATAAGCCAAGTAAGATTGGAGTACATGGAAATCCCTCACCTATATCCCATTCTTCAACTGGCCAAAGTTCTCCTACCTCAGTCGCGGTGGCTAACGCCTCTTTTGCTGGAAGCATGACTGTATATTCCAATGAGTGCATCCGTGAAGCTAAGCGAGGCCACCCTTGTCTGGTGAACTCACCGCCACCACCAACACTGACCATGAACGGCTCTGCAGGGATGAATGTAACTGCTCCTCCTTGCACCAGCAAACCTTGTTAGTTCTCCGGGAACCCCACCACATGTAAACAGTAAAGCCTCAGGTTTGTTAGTTAGCTTTGTATCCGAGAAAATAACTAGTGTGACATAATTTGAGGATCTAATGTACTACTATCGTTAGATTACGAAATAAATCTCCAAATTAGTCTAGAAAATAAGTTGAAAATGGTATTAATGAACTATAGTGGGGGTTTTCAAGTGTTGCAACATTAGATTGTTAGTGGATTCCAACATTAAATTATCACTGCGTCCCAACACTATCAATTTAATGGTCATTTAAGTTTATAAATTATGTACCAAAGCCAGAACACTCTCTGCCTATCAGAATGCTTAAACACCCCTATTTATATAGGAGGAAGGCAGATGACACCCCCATCTGTCAAGGGGTAGTTACCCACGTTTTTACTATTCTATAGCATATTGGGCTAACAGGCTTAAACATTGTGCAACATCTGGCAGACAGTTCCACCACTTTCAGTAACTGTTGTGGAACTGCCCTTCATCAACATGCATCTAGACTGGATTCAGAATAGGGACATCCAGAACTGCCTCAGCAACTACCTTGACTGTGTCTCAGTATCATAACTGCCCACATCTTCTTGGTCATATGCATTGAGCAGCTATGTGCCAATCAGGTGCCCACATTTAGCAGTCATGTGCCAACATTCAGTAGTCAGCCTTGCTACACGAACCAATGTGCATGTTGGGTTCAACCCATGCCATGCAATCCGAAGCTATGCACCCACCACATGCTGCCATACTCAACCGGGTGGTTTCATGCTGCCTTGGTTCGTCCCAATCTATCGAACCACTTAGTCGCGTCACTTTGATTCTAATTTCTAGTATGCCTTGGTGCAAGGTGCCACCAAGACCGATCATTTGCACCCAAGTCAATTGGGGTGTGACACCTAAAGACTAGGCACTTTTCCAAAAGAACCCAAAAAGACACACAATTATGTCATCCAGGCTTGTAGTTTGCCAAATATAGGGAAAGCTCTAATTCCATGGGACAGCTTGCGAAAAGTTCTATTTTATTATAGCAATAACAACGTTACTTGTACATAATTTATTGGCTTCATTAATCATAATTATTCAATTAACGGTGAACCACAAATTTAGTCGGGATCTATTGATTGTTCCTACTAGTTTTTTCCATGAAGTCTCCAGGGTGAAAATGAGTCTAAAAAGTAAATTTAGAACTTATTTCAAAATGAATCTAAAATGAACTTATTTCTCATACCAAAGTTGCAATAAAATGTTTTTGAGTAATGCTATTGAGATATAATTTAATGACATAATTTGAGGATTTAATGATTGTAACTATTAGATTATCAGTGGGTCCCAACATTATCAATTCAATGATCATAATGCATTAAATTTCTAAATTATGTTCCAATAACATTAGTGACTTTAATATACCAACATTACAATATTTTCACACGAGGAACAGAGATGTATCAATTTTAAAATTAATGGACTACAATAGAAAGAGGATGAACCATCCAAAATGAGAACCTGCATATAAGGCCATAATAGAGAAAAACTGGAAAGGAATCTGACAGAACATCTAATCTTTGGGGACACTGGACTTGGTCTTTCAGTAGACTAGGTTGACCCAAGGTCAATGTTTGTATCCTCATGACCTACCATTTGAACTGTTCCTTATTGCTTTACACTTACACAGGGTTTATTGACAAGTTGTCTTCAACTTTTTTGCTCTATATAAATTCTATCCCTAAACTTCTAAAGTTTCTTAGTTTAGCCACTCTTTTAAATAGTTATTCGCATTAACTTGCACGGATTGGCTTAGTAGTCTTACAATGCGTGAATGAAGACTCATACATCTTGAGTTTAAGTGTCCTTAGTTGCTTAAAACATGAACTTGACTAATACATATGTAATTTGATGATAGTTCATATATTTGAGATTTACGCTGTAATCATTAGTTCAATGACTCGTTTATTAGTGTAGCAAGATCAACGGAAAATCAAAGCATTGAGGAGGAAAAATTATCTACATTCCATCTAGGCTCTATTACATCTAGTGGAGTATCAGATTTTTTGGATATTGGTGAAATTAAAGTCACTTTTTGGTAGACTTTTGTTGGAATTCTTTGATTTATAAACATCATGAAATTAATTTTATCATGCTGTATTTATATTTATTTTAAAGGGTTGAGGTTTATGTCCTCCCCTAGCAATTTGTTATCTTTAATTTGGAATTAATAAAATATATCCTCGCATCGTCGAGATTTTATTAAAAAAAAATTGACTAGTGACTTGGATAGCTTGTCCTTACTAAACAAAATAGTTATTAGCATTAACAATCACATTGAGACCAACTGCATTAGGATAGCAATAACCCGCATTAGCATGTGTTGAATCCCAAATCGAAAATTTGGAACGAAACTCTGGGGTATATATATGAAAATAATGACCCAAATGACAACTTATTGACTAACCCTTTTGGGTGAGTCGTGACATGAATCACATTAACACTTTCGGAAAGAAATTTGTGTTATTAAGCCCCTAAACTCTAGGCACAAGCGTGCAATTAACCCAGTGGTTTAAGTCTTGCCCTTATCTAGTTCACGTGGTGGCAGAAAACAGCTTAGACATAGCACAGATATCTATCATATTTACTCAATTTCATTCAATCATAGATTACTCGCAATGTATAAATGACAAGCTCACTTATAGATAGTAGTTCTATTGGAATACACGGTAAACAATCTACTATATTAATGAATCACGTAATGATTTTTTTGTCTTGTAACTAATTTTTAGGGAATTGTGACTCTCTATTAAATTTCTCCTCACACTTTCTATATATATTTTTTTCTCTATTATTGATATATTATTATTTGTTTTAATAGTTAATTATATTTATATATCACTATGTAAATATACATAAAAATAATTATATGCTTGATCACAAAAAGTCATGCGAGAGACATCTCCATCTCCATGAAGCTGGCAGTCATCGACGTATTTGCCACTCTCCCCTTAGTCAACATACCATTTCGAAGTCAGAAAAAGCAAATTTTTCAACCTTTAAAACGAGTTAGAAAACTTATACTTTTGATCCCTTTAATTATGGATTTTATTTTATTTTGCCACTTAAACTATTAAATTTTTTACATTGCCTCATCAACTATTTGAATTATTTCACACTACTCTGTATGTAAATGTTAGTTATCTTTTTCGACAAAAATTTTCAATGTGTCGGGGGTAAAATGAAACAAATTACATAGTTTGGAGGACAAAATAAAAAAAATTGTCAAATTTATTAGGGATGTTAATTGTTGGGGTAATTTATAATTTATATCCTTAAAGCATACAACTAATTTTTATTTAGTCTCTAAAGTTTCAATTGCAATAATTACATCCTAAATGTTTTAACAGAGTTTTAATTCAATTATTCCATTCAGATTTATTAATTTATTTTGATAGAGGGATATCACATGACTGGTTTGTAAAAGTATATTTATTCAGTGTAAAATATCTCTCTTAGATAAATAGATATAAATTTCTTGGTGTTATGGTACATCTCAAATTTTCACTTTATATCTTCTTTTTTTGGGTTTGTTATCTTCTTTTTCTTCAAATCAAATGAAATAATTTAAGGTTCTCTAACCTATGTAAACAAGTTTTTTCACTAGATAAATATACTCATTTACCCAAATCACGTGTTGGTCACGAAAGGTCATCCCGCTATAATAACTAAATAAATAAATAGTGAATTTGGATATAGGAACGATATCGAAACTCAAAATTTTTAAAAAATAATAGTTGAAGGGGTAATATTAAAAATAATCATACTTAGGTGGTCAAAGCATAATTTTCCCAAACACAAGTCTTTGGAGTCTTCTTTCACCCTTATCAAGTTCATGTGGTGGAAGGCATATATATATACGTTTGTGGTTGCCATGCCCATGCATCCTCCCTCAGATCATATTGCAAAAATGTCATACAAAACTCCTTCTTCCCTTGCTTTCATGATCGTATGCTGCTGCTTCATCATTTGGCTCATCATCGTCCCCGCGGGACTAGTACTAGCCCCTAAACCTAGCAGTAAAAGCGCTCTCCCTCTCTCTCTCTCTCTCTCTCTCTCTCTCTCACTCTCTCTCACTGTTTTTTTGCAGACAGGCATAGTAAGATGATTAATCCGAATCCGAGTTTATTTAATCGGATATGGATTAATATTGTAATATGTTTACTCGAATTTGATTTGAGTTTGATTATATTTTTTAAAATGGATTTGAATTTAAATACATGTAAATTTGATTCAATACAAAATTGATCTCATATCATATATATATATATATATATATATATATATATATATATATATATATATTATTAATGAGATTGACATGAAATTAAACATTAATTATTTAATAGAATAATTAGTTAATTAAATTAAGTTGAAAGTTAACTAAAATTTGATAAAATTATTAATTTTTTATGAAATTTTGTTAAGATTCAAATTTTAAAATTAGATCGGATAATCATAATTTAAGATTATTAACCGATGCGAATATGAATTAAGATTTTAAAGTTTGCTGGATAAACGAATTGGATTCAAAACTACAATGCTTTTTACTAAATTCAAATTTAGATAGACCAAGATCCGTTAACAGTCCTAAGTGGCATAGTCACATCGGATATTCTCTCCCTCTTTTTTTTTTTCTCTCACTGATATTTCATTTTCATGATTTTTTTTTTTTTTGCAGATAAGCCCAGTAAGGTGAGAGTAGCAGGACGCCCCTCAAGTACGGCCCCTTCTGCAACTAAGCGACGTCCTCCTCTCTCCGTCCCCAGTCCTGTCTCAGCCCACCATTCTTTCGCAGTCAAAAGTCTTAATCCGGGCTCGGCTGTGTGCAACAGTAGCATTTATGGAAATTGCATTCCTACCATCGGCCGCCGTTGTACTTACGAGAAGAGATGTAAACGTGGACCGGCCCCGTAGGTTGGAAAATCAGAAGCAGCATTTTTCACTGAAATGACATACGAATTACCGAGTCATATATTGTGTCCCTTTGCCTGCATGCAAACATGTTGTCTTTGACCTGTTTCAATTTAGAGCAATGTTATTGGCTGTTGAGACTTAATTTATTAATATAATTTATTTAACTAATTTACTATATTCATTTGAATTGATTATGAATTTTATCAAATATTAAAATTTACTGCTAATTTAACGGTTATAATAAAATCACATCATTAGCTCAATAGATTAAATACAATTTTTAGGTTTCAATGGAGCGTTACTCTTTTCGTTGACTTTAGATCACTTATCTTGTATTCAAATCAATTTTTTTTTTCATCATTAATATGTCGCAGATGATACTATTGGACTTGTATTTATTGTGCTTCAAAACACTTAGATTCATGGGCCCATTTATTTTTATTTGAAAAAAGAAAAAAAAAGTTCTTTGGAAGCCGGTACACCTAATTAGACTTATTTAACAAAAAGTACATAGAACAAAATATTTTGAAAAAAAATACACAGCTGAGTTACAAAGAAATAAATGCCTATTTTAGGGTCATTTAATTCAAACTCTCTTATCTTTAATGCATCTTAATTCATGTATATTTGTTAATATATATAAATACGTATTTAATGCACCTTAATTCATGTGTATTTGTTAATACATGTAAATATGTATATAAATAAACAATTATATATATATATATATATACATTTGTTGTTAAATCTCTTATTTAAATTTTGAATTATCTTTAATGCACCTTGATTCATGCGTATTTTTTTTTTGGAAAGTAATTTTATTTTTAAATTATATTTAATGCACCTTAATTCAAGCGTTTTTTTTTTGAAAATAGTTTTATTTTTAAATTAATTTAATATCTGAATAGTGTAATAGTATAACAAATACACTGTAACAAAAACACTGTAGCAAAAACAATATTCAGTAATTTTGTACATATGGTAACAAATTCAAAACAGAGATGAACTATTTTGAATGAAATTATGTGAAACTATATGTTTAACAAAATGTAATAGTACAATATTTTATGTAAATAGCTTGTTACACTGTTATTGTATACTGTTACACTGTTACACTTTTATTGTTACACTATTATTATTACACTGTTACATTTTTATTATTACATTATTACACTATTCGGATATTAAAATAATTTAAAAATAAAATCACTTTCTAAAAAAAAAATGCATGAATTAAGGTGCATTAAAAGATAATTCAAAATTAAGATAAGAGATGTAACAAGTATATACATACATACATAGATACGTATTTATATAAGTGTGTATATATATATATATATATATATTAAAGGTTTCCTATAAAGTTTTCTTTGAAAAGTGGTGCATTAAATACACATGGATTAATAGAGAGCAAAAATGTTACAAAAAAATCAGTAAAATTCAAATAATGTACTTTGATACAAATAAATATCAAAATTAAGGACTTAATTACCCAATATATTTTTATATATATTTTTTCACAATTAAGTCTAATTGAGTGTACCTTCTTCCAATTTTCCCAAAAAAAAAATAATATTGGGTTTGGGCTTTTCGTTTTTCTCTTGGTCTGTGTTTTGTTTAGGGAAAATTTTATTCACACTCCCTCTAATTTATCATATCTTCAATTATACTCTCTAGTTTTTGAATATTCATATGTACCTCTTGTCAAGTTAAAGAGTTTAACTAGAATATAATTTTACTAAAGTGTCCATAATATATTTTAGAAAAAATCTCACCCACACCCCCTCTAGATAGACATATATTCAATGAGACTCTTTTCATCTTATAAATTTTTGTACGTATTAAAATTAGAACTGACTAAAATTTAATTAAAGTCGAATAAATTTCTTTTTTAATTAGTTCGAATCAAATTTTAATCAACTTGCATTGCATTTTAATCGGCCTGAATTTTGATACATAAAAAAATATAAATTTAATCGACTCAAATTTTAATATGTATAAAATAAATTTTAATCAATTTGAATCAAATTTTAATTGACATGAATTTTAATAAGTAAAAAAACTATAAATTTTAATCGACTCGAATTGAATTTTAATTAGCGCTAACAACTCAAGTTGAACTTCAATCGACTCGAATTTTAATATATAAAAAATAAATTTTAATAGCTCGAATAATACGTAAAAAAATAAAATTTAATCAGCCTGAATCGAATTTTAATCAGGACAAATTTTAATATGTAAAAAATTTAATCAACTCAAATTTTAATATATAAAAAAATAAATTTTACTCTGCTCAAATTTTAATCGAATTTATTGAAAAAAAAATTGTTTGGGCTTTATTGTTGGCCAGCTATCTTCCGGGCATGCAGATATCAGAGAGAGTTGTCCAGTACCCTTTCACGACAATAAATACTAATGAAAAGGAAATTATAAATTCAGAAGTCTCATAAAAACTATAAATTTAGATATTTTAAGTTTAAATTTTAATAATTTTTTGGAGTCAAGTTATTAGGGATTTACCTTTATGAATACTTTAATTCCGACATAGTCTTTGATAGGACCCGGGATAGGATTAGTCGAGATGTACATAAATTGACACAAAAACCACCAACTATTAAACAAAAAAAAATACAAAAATTTAGAAAATTTAAGTTGCCGATCAACCAAATATCTCCGTTCCAAAAAAAATGTGTTTTTTTTATAAATTACGTTTGCAGTATATATGTATATCCAATAAATTGGTCAAATCAATTGATTTAATACATAAATAAATAAATAAATATATATATATATATATACAACATTTTATTAAAAAGTTACAAATGATTACATAGCATCCTAAGTGCAATATACCCACAACCGCATACCAAAAGTAAAAAAATATGTTTGAATAAAAAACATTTTACCCTTTGGGCGGATCACTTACTATGTATTCAAGTATGACTTATTATATCCAAGTGAGTCATTAACTCATTAATGATGAATGATTTATCAAGAATTGAATTGATGAGAAAATGTTTTTGAAGAGATTTGATTGCCCCTCAATGGTGTTGGTTAAGAGAAAGAGAGAGAGAGAGAGCTTTTCACCATAGAGAAAGGCTTTTCACCATAGAGAGAGGTGTGGGTGAGTGTTATAGTGAGAAGTATGGATACGGATATAAGATACATGTATGATACGACATAAATACGACAATACAACAAAACTTTAAAAAATAGGATATGGTACGACTAAGATAAGTCTATAAAAATATATATCTTATATTTATATTATTATGTAATAACTTGATAGCTATAATGTGGTTCTTTAAAAATAATAAACAATATTAATGTTCCGTTTGGTATGATGGAAAGTTAGAATGATGAAAAGTTAAAGGGATAAATAAAATATCATGTTTAGTAAGGAAATAATATAGGAAGGATGAATAAGTGAATGCATTAACTTTCCTTCCAATTCATCAAAATCAATCTCTCTAAAATCGAAAGAAAAGTGGATGATGAAAAATTAATTATTTATGTTAAGATGCACCTTATTTGTCTATATATCTTTTTATATCTATATAAAAAAATAGGAAAAAACTTGAATCTTATACTCAACATATTTTTTCCCCCAACATCATTACATCCAACCCAACCCAACAGCTCCGTGCAACCCAAACCAAACAGCTCCCTATAACCCAGACCCAACTGCTCCTTGACGTCCTCTCTCTCTCACTTCCTCCCTCTTTAGTCTCATCTCGACCCCTTCTCTCTCCTCTCACATCCTCCCTTAGCTCACAGTCAGGCAGGGAGACAGCCGATCACTTCCCCAAATCCATGGCACGGTCACTTCCCCAAATCCATGGCATGGTCACTTCCCCTTCGGTTTCTTCTTCAGCTCCCCAACACACAACACCCACACACCCACACACATCACTATCTGCCTCTCTCTCACAGGCAGTGACCATTGTGTCGATTACATTTGGGTCTCTCTCTCTCTCTCTCTCTGAGACACAAATGATATGGAACAAAGGGATGGTGGTGGCAATCATGGGTTTGTCGTAATGCACGTGAAGTGTTCGTCAAAATGTCTACTGCTCCAATCACCACCACCTACACCCCTTACCACCTACACCCTCCCCCCCCTCCCAACACACACACATATCTATAACAAATAATGACCCACAAACATTATTTAAAGTAGTAACTTTTAGAGGTATGCTACTAAATTTTTTTAATTGGTACTTTAGCAAGTCCCATTCATGATGATCAACTTTGATTGGTTCTGCTTTATATGATATGGTAATCACTATATGCTAAGTGGTGGTAGTTTTGCCATCAGAGCCTGCCATGTTCTCTCTTTGGATGCTCAATGTTGCTGCAGGAGTTCAAACCCATTAAAATGCCTGTAAATACGTTTCTTTTCTATTTGAGTTTCTGATTTTCTTCCTCCTTTTGCTTTTCATCAGTTTTATACCGAGAATTATCAAGTCTCTTTCCAACATCTATTTTTTCCTAAATCCATCAGCTATTAGGGTTTATGTAAGAATTATCTATTGGGTTGTGGTCAATTTCTATTATAAAGTGATTTTTGAAGTTTAGAAATAATTGCCTTTGTGCAGTGCCGTCTCATGGATAAAGCGACCATTGTGTCAATTATATTTGTCGACCATTGTGTCGATTACCATTGTGTAGCTTAATTTGATTAGTAAATTAAGTTATATGCATGCGCTCTTTTTTTTTTTTGTTTAAAAATGAGAGCATGGAGGTTGATCTACATTTGATATGCTTTGGTTTAGTGTTTACACATAAACTTGATTTGATATTTGTGGTTGATATTTCTTCGTTTTTGTGCCTACACTACTCTTTCTGATAAGACTCCTCTTCAACATACAGATACCATATTTGTTAAAAGGCGCAGGTAAAACCTGGAAATCATTTAGTAGGGCCAACTTGAGAGGTTTTCATTTCAAAAACTTCTTTCAACAAGATTTCTCTACCTGTGTTTTTTTTTTTGGGGTTCTGAATGTTATTTTTTTCAATTTTTTTTAATTATGAAATAAGTTTATAGTGTCTGATTTGACGAATGTTAGGGATATTTAGATTAAGATGTGTGTTAATTTATTTTACTTCTATAATTTTAGAGATTGTGTGTTAATTAGTATGAAATAGATTTTTATAATATCTTGATTTGATGTATGTTTGTGAATTGAAGTGTCAGTTGAAATTGAGCTATTAATGTGTTGCTATTGTGCTTTTTCTTTTAAACATTCTAATGTTTTACTTTGGTTTTAATCTATTGTGTTGAATTTTGTTGTGATCTTCTGGGCATTTGTTACAGTGGTGCTAGGTGGTAATGGTTTTGGATAGATAACATAAGTGACTTTTAGTTCTTTTTTTTCATTTTATTGTTTGGTTATTTGTGTAATTTAGAGTATTCTTGATTTAATGTAAATTTTTTTTTTTCATTTAGGTGGTCAAAGTATTGATTGATGACAACTTTTGACCCTTTTATTTCGCTAAAGTCGTTACATTAAAAATGATCAAACAATTTTCAGCTTAATGAATATTTATATTCATTGTTTGATTATTTCTTGTTTAAGAACTATATACAGTGTCTTCAGACACGTGATATAGGACGAGTTTAGACTTTTAGTTTAGTACGTGTTCGAGTTCAGTGTTTGATTATTCCACGTTTAAATTCAATGTTTAATTTTTTTTTAGTTGCGTCATGCCTTTAGGCACGGGTTATCTCTAATATACATGTATTATGTATATATTAATTTTATATAAAAATACAATGATACAATATATATATATATATTAGAAGTGAAAATTTTCGACTCAACACGATAACACGACTCGAACTCGAGACGAATTTTATGACACGAATTTGATTATAAATCGACATGAACTTCAAAATGACCTGACACGCAAATAAGAAATATAAACGGCTCATATCCAGTTCAATCTGTTAAACTCAAAATTGACACCTTCAACCCGTTTATTTAAAAATAAATACTTTCTCTATTTTCTTGCTTGTATGGTAACACGAAACTAATATGTTTAACATTAATTCAATTAAGTAAAAATAGAATATTAACGTTAAATTTTTTATTCAAAATTTATGTGGGTTAAGATGAATATGAACACAAACACCACACAAAAATAAACAGATCAACTCGAAACGACACAATTAGTTAAATAAGTTGAGTTAAGTTTAAATAATATTCGACACAAACCTGTAATCACTCGACTCGAACTTGACACAGCAGGACTCGATTGTCACCCCTAATTTTAGCCAGCACAAAAAAAAATAATAATCATTTTTATTTTTCATTCATCTTACCAAACACAAAGGAAAAAAATGTATCATTCCTACTTTCTATCATTCTTACCAAACGGAGGATAATAAATTTTTTTTTTTTAATTTTCATACAATCAGTTATTATCTCATTATAGTACATCTAAAACGTGATTGTGATTAATTAAAGAAATAAAAACTAACATTTAACTAGATTGTTTGTTTAGACGTGTTTGTTGCTAAAATTATTACAGTGTTATCCAAATCGGACCAGATCGACCATGAACCGGGATGTTAGCCGGTCCGATTCTTGAATTGAATCGGTTAAAGAGTTAAACTGGAATAAAAGTGTCAAATCGGCCAATTTTTGACAAAAATCGTTAACCGAACGGTTCTGCTGCCTTTTTCATAAAAACCCCCCAAATCCCTATTTTTTTCTCTAATTTCAGTCATCTCCATCATTTTCTCCGCTCAAGCGTTAGTGGACTAGACCAGACTGTATACGATTCAGACCAGACCAAGCTTCACAAGTCACAGTTTCATAGACCAAGCTTCACACATCAAGCTTCACTCCATCGTCTTCTCCACTCAAGCATTGGTGGACTAGATCAGACTCTATACGATTCAGACCAGACCAAGCTTCACAGGCCACAGCTTCACAGATCAAGCTTCACTCCATCGTCTTCTCCACTCAGGGTTGATCGAGCAACTCCTTCTCCACTGGATCTCTCATTGCTCAAGCTTCACAGGTCACAGCTTCGGTCAGCGGTCCTTTAGGCTTCACAGTTTCGGTCCTTCAAGCTTTTTCGCTCCTCTTTTAAGCTTTTTCGCTCCTCTTTTGTGCTTTAACTGAGTGGAGGTTTCCTTCTCTCTCTCTCACTGGGCTATTGGTTACTTGGTTAACTTAATTGTTTTTTTTTTAGTATTTTTGTCAACTGATGTTAAGAACTTTCTTAACAGTATTTTTCATTTTTAACAGAGGTATTTTTTTATACTTAATTAATTTATGATAAATTATATGTATTAGGTACATGTTTTATATCTTTTTAGCTAAATTATTATATTTTATATTTTATTATTATTCGACCAGTCCAATCAGTTGAACCACTAAACCATTTACCCGGTCCCTCTGCCGATTCAATGTCTAGTTCGATTCTGATAACTACGATTTATAGTGTAATCAATTCGTTTATACCCTTTGGACGCGTGATAGTGAATAATATTTGAAAAACATCAATGTGTCTTCAAAGTCATATGTATTATTTCTGATGTATTGCATTGTTTGTGAAATCGAAGGGGTAAAGATTAAAACTAAATATTACATACTTCTATACATATAGAAATATCTGCGAAGTATTCATATATTTTATTTATTCTTGATTTCGTTTGGTGTTTATCCGATGCATATCCTTGAGAAACTGACAAGTATTACATTTGATCCATTTATTACCCGTATCATATTTGAGTTGTGTTAAATTCGTGTTAATGGGTAAATTAACAACCGTAAATTGTTAACACTTCACTGCCGTGGGTATGGTTGATGCTCTGAAACGAAAGTGCGTGACTCTGTGTGGGTTTAGTGGTTGCATTATGTGTTTGCTTTTGCTGAATGTTGGTGTAATCTTAGTAGGATATTCAATGGGTTTGCTTTTGGTGGGTTGTTGTTGGTGGTGTCTTTTTGGTGGGATATTCAATGGTGCTGGGGATGTAATTGGATGCTACTATTGTAATGCAGATCACGTTTTGGGGTGTATTCTAATTTCCAATTTTACTTGATAGAATAGGGAATTGGATAACAAAATACAAATTTCATTGTCTGATTTATGGCAGTGAAATATAAATTCACTATTCCTTTTTTTTTTTGCTCATTAAAAGAGTGGTTTGGGACAACCAGACGTAGAAACTCATTCAAAACGTTAGCATGAGATTTTCACCTAATGTAGAATGTTCGATTTGAGTAATAGCTACTGACTTGGGATGGTTGAGTACATCACCAAAGCTCCACCGAGAACAAGCTAGACATTAGACATTCAGTTCTTCCAGTAGTATCTAGTTCATAGGAAATACTACCGCAAAAGGGTTTAAACTCATGACCACTAGAGAAAGGTGAAACTTTCACCCTTCTACTAAAAGCCAACTAGGCTACCACCTTGGTAGTATTAATTCTGCCCCTTCAGCAGTATAAATTCACTATTCAATTTTTTAACTGTAATATACAAATTTTTATTGATCAATTATAGTTTTTAGACTAGAATTAGTACTAATCAAACAATCGAAACAATAGTACTAATCAAAAAAATCATTTAGTTATTAGATTATACAACAACTTACAGTCAGCTGCACAATTTCACTGTCATAATTATGATGTTGATATATGTGTTTCACTACCAAAAATTCCATTGATTGAAATGTTCACTTATTTAGTTCATGTGTTATCAATGGACTTTTGGTCCAATGATACTCATTATCTTATAAAAATTTTGTCTTTTTGAGGGCAAGAGTTCAAGTCTCCATTTCCCTTTCCCTTTCCCTTTCCCTCTCCCTTCCCCTTCCCCAAAAAATATTTAAAAAAATAAAATTATTTAGTCCTTGTGTTTCACTTAATTAATCTCATAAATGATTTTTAGTGAATATGTACATAGTTTTGCACACAAATATTAAAAAATTTGAGAATGATACGTGACAATATTTAACAGCCGAAATTGAGTTAGAGAAGTTTCAAGTGAGATAAAACGGTTATGAGTAATTTTCTCCAAGGATCTCAGGATATGAAGAGACGTGACGATTGTGACATCATGAAGTAGTATGTTGAAGATGATTTTGACGCACGTTGATAGCCGTCGGAAAGAGTGGCCACAAATGTTAGTTTAGTAGCTAAGTTTATAATGTTTTATTTTACTCCATTCTGTAATTTCCTTTGTCATCACTTTAGTGACTTTCCTCCATTCAAATCCAATTATAGTTTACTTTTAATTCCTAATTTGTAATAGGTCTTCTTTGTTGTTCGTTCCGATTCTAGTTTGCTTTCAATTCCTAATTTGCAAACCTCCTCCTAGAGGGAATAGTTTGAGTGTTTGATCTTCAAGGCAAAGTTAAAAAAATCTAAAAGTAATCTTAGAAGTCATTTTAATTGCTTGAACAATCACTATTTAAGAAGCTTACATCGGTTCGAATAAATAGATTTGTAAGTGTTTGTAAATTAAGTACATTCAAATTTTGGCACACTTACAATCCAAAATACGATAAATAGAGACGAACTACAATATCGTAATTACGAAAATTATACTCTTACAACTTTCTAATCGGTAAATTAAATTAGATTTTAAGAACCTGAGCAGATTACTCCTTTTTTAGTGATATGTCACATAGCTCATATCCGAAATAGAATTTGGGACATTGGCAGCAATATATTTAGAAAAAATGAAAATTACCTAGATAACTTCAGTAAAAGAATGAGCAAAAAAACTTATATATTTTCATTCTTAAGACGTTTGAACTAACTAAACTTAGCCTAGTTTGTCACTTTTAATTTTGTAAAGACTTTTCCAATCCATAGGTCAAGGAATGAATTGATTTCTGTAACCTCTTTTTGGGAATTGTGGCCCTCTCAAGTTTCTCTCTAGATTTTATTCCTGTGATAAAAATATTATTATTTCTCTTGATAGTTGATTATATGTATAAAAAATGATGATCTAGAACACGAGACAAGGATTATATATTTTCATTCTTAAGACGTTTTACTCATGTAAACGAAGAACTTGTTTTTAACACTCAAAAGCCTTAACGTCTATGCAACACTTGAGTAATCTTATCGTTGTGCCAAGACTCACCCTTAATTATTATATTTGTATTGTGATATACAAATATACACGCAGGAAAAACTATATGCTTAAAATCATGAGAGGGAAATTTCCATGAAGCTGACAGTCCTTAATGTATTTGCCAATCTCCCAATAGTCAAGCCACCAAAACTACAGTGCTACAAGTTCCACCTGCTTCAAGTCTTCCAAGTTCCACCTGCTTCATGTCTTTCCAAGTTCCACCTATCAAGTTCAAGTCTTCCAAGTTCCACTATCAAGTTCATTTTTTTTATACACGCATATATATACCTTTGTGCTTGCCATGCCCTCTCCCTCAGATCATATAGCAAAATGTCATACAAAGTTGCTTCTTCCGCTGCTTCCATTATCATAAGCTACTTCTTCATGATTTGTCTCATCATCGTCGCAACTGGAATTTTAGCCTCTGATGAACCTGGCGGTAAAGCTCTCTCTCTCTCTCTTGTTAATATTCAGTCGGTGATAGCACGTTATCATCGCCAACTAAAAATGCAATACCAAGTAGTGAACCCAACCAGATAAATGTGACAATTGTTGGATATAGTAGTTGTTGTAGTAGTGGGCTTTAGCTTTACTTTGACGTACTTGGTCATATATTGTTGATTGTCGATGATATCATGTGTTAGCCGTGGTATCGCTATTAAAATGAATATTCTCTCCCCCACGTATCTCTCACGCACACACACACTTGATGTTCATGGTTTTTGCAGATTCTAATATGATGGGAGTACATGGAAATCCCTCACCTATGTCCCATTCTTCAATTGGCCAAAGTTCTCCCGAGTCTGCAGATGCAAACAGTATCAGTGAAAAACACATTTCGTGCAAAACTTCCAGTCGTGGTTGCGCTAATGGCTATCAGCTTCCCCGCCTTCTGACTTATGGATGGATTGTGTAAGTTGATGGGTAATGGGCAAAAAATACCCCATGACCTTTGATTTGGGAGTATCGTGGGTGATATTTTTTCTTCGCGAACCTCAACCGGTTTGAGGGAGTTTTATTGAATAAATAAAAAACTAAAATCTAAAATAGGAGGGAAGTAATGGACATTACCCCCAAAGAACTAATATAATTCCAAATAGAATAAATAAGGTAGTCAACTAAAAGTTTGACATGAAGCTAACTAAATATGACACTCATCCGGTTGAAATCAACTAAACATCGGTTGTATATGACAAAAATTCAATATGATATTGTTTGGATATAAAATAAATATACCTTACGATTGTTTAATGTATTGACATCTCTGATAATTTGGATGCAATAACAAAATGTCACGTTGTAGAATCTGAAAAAAGGCAAAAGATAACTAACTATAATCATGTTTGAAAAGAGAAATAACTAACTAAAGGTTGTATTCAGTAATCATCGATGGAAGCAAAATCGTCGAGAACCGTGGCTATAAAAAGGCATGTAGTAGAGAAGATGAATGATACATTCAAACCCCCACAATACCCACGATCCAGAAATTTTTATGAATAGTGTTAGATTAGAGTTAGGAGGTTGTTATTGTAGCAATCAAGGCTGTTAATCTAGTTTTTTCTGTAACTAAAGTTCGATTGAATTAATAAATGAGTCTTGTATTACTAGTCACTTGTACTATGTGTTTGTCCATTTGAACCTCTCACAAACAATCGCTTGAAAACTGTCTGTTGATTGAGTTTTTGCCATCGATAACAACAGATTTTGGAGTATCAGATATGAACCCATATATAAGGATCATAAATGAATCAAATATGAGTAAAACAAATTTTACAGAACGCCATTTACAGGGACAAAACTGAATTTTTAGGTTAAGAAGGCCAAATATTGGTATAGTCAAGAGTTGTATTCAATCAAATCATTGGAGTTTTTATTAATCCTAGATTTTTAGGGGTATAGAATGTATTGAAATAAACTTTTGCACGAAAAATTAGAGTATT